AAAAAAAAAAAAAAAAAAAAAAAATCTCATTTAGGAAAATGAGCTGAAAAGAGTTTTAAAAAAGATAAAAACAATTTTCATTTTTCTTAACTATACTAAATGTTTCTTTTCATCATTGAGATTTTTCTCTTCAACTATTAGCACAAAAATTACATTGCTGTGCCAAAATTCATGAGTTTGAGGATTCTGGATATTCTTAAGTAGTTTACAGGATCTTTATAAAAATTTCTATTGATGGCTCACTGTAACACAAAGGGTATCTAAATCAATATCTAGGATCATATACTGTTTTCTGTTTATTATTTCTACTTACTAGTAGTTAACAGAAATATTAGGCAAAAAAATTTTAAGTGCATGTACAGTGCACATTTTTTCATCTTTAGGAAGGCTGAATTCTTGAGCTAATTTTCTTCACATCAAGAGTACTCTGACATTTTTCTTCCAAGTGAACTGTTTTCAGTATGAAGTTAGGCCATCATCTTTAAGATAACAAACGCACTATCATGAACTATTTTGACCAGTATCACATTACACAGAATAAAAGAGAATGGAAAACATCTTGGGAATCCAGAATATAATCATGAATTAAATGTAAGTAAACATTAGTTTGTTTTTGATATTTTTAAGTTTCTCATCTTAATATGCTAAACAATATTTCAATTTGGTGTTAGCAGATTTTATACTCAGTTTTGCTATTCATTCTGACCCTTATATTCAAAATCAAAAATCTAAAACATAAAATATTTCACCCTATCTACTACTTCTTTTTTTTAAGTTTATTTATTTATTTTGAGAGAGCAAGCACACAAACAGGTGAGGGGTGTCGAGAGAGGGAGAGAAAGAGAGAGACAGAGAAAGAGAGAGAGAAAATCCCAAGCAGGCTCCATGCTGCTGCCCGCAGAGAGCCTGACAGGGGGCTCGAAATCACAAACCAGGAGATCATGACCTGAACAAAATTTAAGAGTCGTATGCTCAATGGACTGAGCCACCCATGCGCCCCCACCTACTGCTTGTTCACTTAACTTTTCCCCCACCATGCTTCCTTTGTTTCCCAAAAGTTTCATCCTGACTACTTTTACATTTTTTATCAAAAAATACTAATCTGTATTGATTTTTGCACTTAAAAAATTTTTACAAATCATATAATTTACTATCTTACCCATTTTGAAGCGTACAGTTCAGTGGTATTAAAGACATGCAGAGTTTTGTATATGCATCACCAATGGCCATCTTCAGAATTATTTTCATCTTGTAAAACTAAAACTCTATGCCCTTTAAATAATAACCCTCTGTTTCCCACTCTCCCAGCCTCTGGCACCACCGTTCTATTTTCTATGAATTTAACTACTCTACATACTGTATGATTTGGAATCATACAGTATTTGTCCTTTTGTGTCTGGCTTATTTCACTGAGCTCAATTCCCTCAGGTTCCTCCATGCTGTGGCACCTATCAGAATTTCTTCTTTTGGTCTATGTGTCTGTCTTATGCGAGCACCACACCATTTTGACCACAGCAGTTTTGTAATAAGTATTAAAATCAGGAAGTGTGAGCTTTCCAACTTTGTCCTTCTTTTTGAAAATTGTTTTGGCTATTTGGGGTCCATCCCTTAAGAGTCCATATGAATTTTAGGACTGACTTTTCTATCTCTGCAAAAAATCGGTTGAGATTTTGATAGGGATTGTTTTGAATCTGCTGAACATGGGTAATACTGAAGCCAAATCATGGGCAATACTGACATTATAACAACATTAAGTCTTCCAATCTATGAACCCAAGATGGCTTTGCATATATTTGTGTTTTCTTTAATTTCTTTCAGCAACATTTTGTAGTATCTAGTGTACAAGTCCTTCTCCTCCATGGTTAAGTTTATTCCTAAGCATCTTACTCTTTTTGATAGTGTTGCAAATGGAATTGTTTTTGCTTTGTATATTTCAAACTGTTACATAAATGGTATCATTAAGTACTTATATTTTCACAGCCTTCTTTTTTACTATTATTATAGTCCATGCATACATACTAAATGTAGAACAATATGCACAAGGAGGACACATAGCACCTTCAGGATAGCTGTCACCTCTGGAGAGGGAAAGGGCGGAATGAGATACCATAAAGAAGGGATTTAGCTGTAACTATGAATTGTTCCTTTTTCAGTAAGAGATCTGTATAGAACATTTGTGCATTTGCAATACTTTCCTTATTTGAAACATCTTTAAATTTTTTAGATTAAAATAATTTTGAAAATGTGGGGTATCTGAAGCATTACTTCAGGCATATGACTTTGCTTGTACCACTCTTGGGATCATGACCCTAGAGTGTCACCTTGAGGCCAGTTACTTTTTCTTGATGTGGCAGTGGATGATCTGGGAAACCAACAGTCACAGCTCTCCCCCCGAGACCCTAAAATCTGAGACTTCGTATCAATGGGTCTTTACTTAGTCTGTGCTATTCATCTTGACTCTCTTCAATAGCACTGATGTCAAATGAAACTCAATCCAAATATACTTAGGAAAAAAAAGACACTATCAGGATTACCTGCTTTTCATTAGGTTTGATACTGTAAAGCCAATAAATAGGGGTAAGTAGCTATTGATACTATGTATCAAGGTGGATATTTTCCAGGGAAATTTTTAATGCAATAATTTTGATGTGTTTTTTTTAAAACAGCCCTGCTTTTCTAATGAGCTAAAAAGTAAAACAAGAGGTAATTCTACTGGAAAAATTCAAAGACACCATTTGAGCTGATGGTCTCTAGTTTTTCAACATGGAATCTGAAACAAGCACCAAGAAATAACAGCTCTAAGAAGTAATCTGAGCAGTTTTCTTATTAAGGCAAGGCACTGCTTAGAAAAACAGTGTATTGGAGTATCAGATGAACAGTAACACTTCAGTGGTGACTCAGTACAGAACTAAAAATTATGCTAAGTCTACATTTTTGTAAAGTTAACCTTCCCTGAGGAAAATGTTATAATATTAATACTCTTTACTATTCAATACACATTATTTGCTACTCAACCTGATATACACTTAAGTCTCCACTTATAGAGCTAGGTTTTTAAATGATCATATAGAAAGGAGGAACATAAGGAATCAGGTAAGTACATCACAAAAAAATACATCATAAGACAACTGTTTAACTCCACCGCAGTTTTCACGTTAACAGAGTGGAGTGAAATACCTTTCAGGAACAAATGCCTCAGCAATTTTGGCACACAGAATGAATCCCAACACTTAAAGACAACCAAGGAGATGACCCTTCACTCATGAATGAATCTCATTTACCTGTGACTCTGACTACCACATAAGCTTCTCCAGTCTTAACAGCCTAGCACTTACCTAGCACAAGGTAGGAATGTAGTACGGATATGTTGAATAAGTGACTTCTCCTAACTCTGATGGTACTTTCTAGCTGGGATCAGGAAACTGCCACCAGGAGGTGCCTGGCTGGCTCAGTTGGTAGAGCATGTGACTCTTGATCTCAGGGTCACGAATTCGAGCCCCACGTTGGGGGCAGAGTTTACTTAAAAAAAAAAATACACATAAAAGCGAAAAAACTACCACCCTATACTTCAGCCTCACCAGTTCTTCTTTTCATGAAATCATATTATTTTTATTTTCATATCCTGTCTAAATCTTTTGATAAAAAAGTCATGTTTTCCAAACAACAAAATGACATTTCATTGCAACTTAGCCATGAGAAGAGAAATGTAGATTAATAAAATATCCATTGCACTAACTACCTAGAAGCTTCTGTGTGTTCAGGCTGAACGTAAAACAGGAAAAACATTTCACAATATCATGATATTTTTCTGGCACTCACTCTCAAATCATATAATTTAAACATATCATTCATAACACAGTGTAAACACTAAATGTTAACGTAACACTGCTTAGTACAGACCCGAATTAAACTAAAGCAGTTCTATCATGGATATTATCCAAGGGGTTTAAGTTCAAGTTTTAAATTCCTTCAAAACAAAAGGAATGTCACCACAAGGTAAATTTAGCCTCAAGAATGTCTCACACAACATGAAGTCTCAAGAAAATGTTATATAGGCTTCAGATGACTTGTTTTAAAAGAGTGATTACCTACCACAGCTATCATATGTTTGGAATTATACTTAAAGATGCTCTTCTCTGAGACAAAAACAAAAGTATTACTTCTCAATAACAAAAGGAAAATGAATCAGGTGTCAGGAAGTGGGTGTAGAATGTGGCTAAATCTAGGAATGTATTTCCTAATTAACATGAGAGAACAAAACCTCCCATTTACATTCAGCTTCCTAAAGAAGGTGAAACAAGCACATTGCTGTGTTACAGACTCAAAAGATGAGAGTCGCTGAATACGTTAAAAATTGTTTGAAACAGGCACAGATCAATTTTCAAGACTGCCAAAAAAAAAAAAAAAAGAAAGAAAGAAATAAAACTCACAGAGAATGTTGGCCCACTGTTTGATGCTACGACAGTATGAACTTCATCATGCAATTTTACTGAGAGCTGCCAGTTAGCCACTTGTGGTTGAATAATAGGCACTCTGAAGCAGAAAAAAAGAAAAGGAGTTAGTAATTTTACATTATTCTCTTAGTAAACTGATTTTCCTTTGGCATTAAGTGTGCAGGGTAAAATTGCCACAGATTATATTTCAGATCATTATTTTAAAAGGCTCTGTCCCTGGAAAAAAGCTTTCAGATTTAAACTAGAGCAGTTAAAAACAAACATACAAAAAACACATAGACATTCCAAGGACAACAGTAACCATTCTGGGATAAATGTCCTAGTGCCATCCATTCAAATACCATTATCCATTCTATGAATTTGAGTTGCTTAACTATGACTTTCAAAAATTAACTTTATGCAATATTAATATCTTCTCAGTATTTTGCTACTGTTCCAGACTGTTTTCAAAAATTTGCAACGTGAATCTTTCATTTTTCTGGGTTTATTGAGTTATGAGTGGTATGCATAAGAACTGCATATAATTAACATACAATTTAGTGAATTTGAACATAGTTATTCATTTGTGTTTCCATCACCATAATTAAGGTAATAAACATATCCATCACCTCCAAAAGTTCCCTTGTATATCCCTTCATTCCTTTTTGGTATTTTGTTTGTTTGGGTAAGAATACAATCTTAATACACAGGTCTTTTCTTGCCTATGATCCATATTACATGGTCCAGAAAAACTGGGTAAAGCAACCAGAGACAAAAACATTTTTAGAATACAAATACTTCCCACAATTTTTTAAAGTAACAAGATTTTAATCATTTGTGAATTAGCCTAATTTAAATATTGCATGTTTTCATTATCTATGGTCATAAAGGAATATTTTACAAAGCAACTACACAGATACTATCCAGACTCTTGTCTTTTTTTTTTTTTTAATTTTTTTTTTTTTTCAACGTTTATTTATTTTTGGGACAGAGAGAGACAGAGCATGAACGGGGGAGGGGCAGAGAGAGAGGGAGACACAGAATCGGAAACAGGCTCCAGGCTCTGAGCCATCAGCCCAGAGCCCGACGCGGGGCTCGAACTCACGGACCGTGAGATCGTGACCTGGCTGAAGTCGGACGCTTAACCGACTGCGCCACCCAGGCGCCCCCAGACTCTTGTCTTAAGTTATAGTTCCGAAAAAATGTTGCAGGTTATGTTTCAAGGTCACACCCCCTCCCGTGAATTTCAAAAGGATTCTTTGTGTATTCAATGAAAACAAATTCAGGCACAAAAACTATGATTACAATCAAATCATCTCTAGACACAAGGTCTAATGGAGGATGATGGATAACTTAGGAGAACATTTGTATTTGGCCCACTATTTATTTTCTGAAAAAGAAGAAATGTCTTCAATACTCGAGAAGTGAAAATTACCGTTTTAAAATGTATCAACAAATCATTACTAATGAACATGGCAGACATGGACGATTCTCTCGGCAACTTAAATAGGGCTGTTTCAGAGGACAGAGCTTCACACATGGGAGCTTGAAAGAACAACAGGAGAGCATACAGGACACAGAGGAGGAGAAGGAGGAGGGGGAGGAAGAAGAGGAGGAGGAAGAAGAGGAAGAGGAAGAGGAGGAGGAGGAGGAGGAAGAGGAAGAAGAGG